ATGTCATGTGTTGGATTAAGACCATCATTCGAGTTGTCATTACAGATGACTGGAATGAGGTAATGATGCATACCTTGAATACATTACAAATCAAATTCATCTTTAAACATATATGAAACCATAATGAATCTTTCTTCATTTCGCAACGCTTCAAGAGTACATCTCCTATACCAGAGGACACAATTAGGCAGATAAGGCAGGAGTGGACAACTTATTTTCTGCAAAGATGGAGCTAGGAACACTTATATTTCTTGTTGAACATTACATTGGTTTAGTTTAAGTTTATATTTTGATAGTTTTAGTATTGGATTGTTTTTTACATTAAGTAGAACTTTTTTTATATGAAACGCATATATATATATATATATATATATATATATATTATAGTATATTGTTCTGGGACAATTTTCTGTTTTTCAAGTGTGGTTTTATTGCAACAATAAATTAATTTTAAAAAAAAACACCTAGTAGACGTCGGTTAATGCCATGACCGACGTCTATAGACGTTTGTCAATGCACAAACCGACGTCCAATGAGTTATAGTGAACAAAACGTTTTAGGGCCTATAGACCTCGGATATGCCTACATCTGACGTCTATATACACGTCTGTTATATCCAACATCCGACGTTTATATAGACGTTAGTTATATCCACCTTCGACGTCTATATAGACGTCGAGTATACACTGTCCGACGTCTTATTAACGTCACCCATAAAGACTTTGGATGTGGATCCGACGTTAAAAGGCCAAATTAACGGACGTTTAAAGCCCTTTCTGCACTAGTGTACTCATCCAGTAGAAAGAAAAACAACCTAAGCTCAAATATAAAAAAAAATGCCCGAGCCCACCTCTTTTAATGCATATATACATATATATATATATATATATATATATATATATATATATATATATAATATAATATAATATATAAACTTACTCATTCTTTCACTTTAAAAGCCTAAACTAAAATTACTAATTCTACTAATTAAATTTTTGCACTACTCGTAAATACTTTTATTTCTGAATTTCATACCATAAATAATTATTTAATATTATAAATAAAAAAATAAAAATAAAAGATATTTTTATTTTATTCGGGTCTTACAGAAATGGTTCTCTACCAAGCTGTTTCAAGTTGTTCTTCATTCCATCATGTGTCGAAGGAAGGTGTTGTTATCATCTCTTATCGGTTAAGAGAGGTGTTTTCTACTTCACATTGTTCTTTACCTAGATTGTATCATTAAACTAATTTTAGTGAAAGGTTAATCACTTATTTTAAAGTGATTAACAATTGGACGTAGAATCTTTTTGATTCGAACCAGTATACAAATTATCTGTGTTTTCTCTATCCTTTCTCCTCTTTACTTTATTCTGTAAAAAGAAAATTTTAAAGGGAAAACAAAAATTTTAATAGAACCAATTCATCGCTTCCCTCTTGCTTTTGTGTCCGAACACGCTTTTAAACATTCCACTACATGATACCAATTTCGATAATTGGTATTAGAGTTTGCTTTGATATTCTTTCAAATTTTTTGAAAATGGTCGAACATAACAAAGTGTATGCTGAGGGTGCTTCCATCAACAAGCCTCCTCTTTTTATCGGTGATAACTATGCCTTTTGGAAAGTCAGAATGCAAATACTCATAGGGTTGTAGATAGAGGCATTTGGGAAGTAGTGGAAAATGGTCCTATAATATTCCCACTAGAATTGTTGATGGTATTGAGCAAGAAAAACCTTATTTGTCATGGACTACTGGAGAAAATAGCCGAGCTCAATTTGATATAAATTCTCGAAACATAATTTCCTTTTTTGTTGTATTAAATGAATTTTACAAGATATCAGTGTGTAAAACAACCCAGGAGATGTAGGAGGTCCTTCGAGTAACACATGAAGGTATTGACAATGTTAACTCTATCAAATATAAGTCAGAAGTGGATCTTAGAGACAAAGAATACATTCACGGAATGTTTTCACTATCAAAAGTCGTGCTAAAGAGTTTGTACAATCTACTTTTGATTAAATATTGAAAAAGCATTCCTGTCTGAAAACTTGACTTTACTACGGCTACTACCTACGAAAAGGCTAAGAAGATCTGAAGATCAAAGGACGTACTATCTAACGAACATTTTCTTTAAGTCTATAAATTGAAGATCTATAAAGAGAAGAGCAAGTGAATAAGCATACGAATACGAAAGAAATTATCTGAGAAGAAAAGGAAGCTAAAAAAAAAAAAGAAAATACTCTCCAACTTCATAGAATCATAAGCTTACAGTTGTAAGAAAAGAGGAAACTGTAACAATCAGTTAGATTGATTTGTATTGTAAACACATCCTCTTTGCGAGAGTAATCGTCTAAGGACTTGTAAACACTTTTCTTTCAAACTCTACAGTTTTTTATTATCTCAATCGTTTTTAAAAGCTCTTTCTCAAACGTTATTCTTATCAAGAGCTATCTTTCTCAAAACGCTACAATATATTTAGCTAAAAAATTGAAAAATATTTATTTTTGAACTTGCAGTTTGAACATAACTTTCCAACTCAAGTGTTTGACAACTTATACAAACCAGTTAACCTTTAACAAGGTTATTAAACTATCTTTTAGAAAAAAAAAATTCTTATAACACTATTCAACCCTCACTAGTACAGAAAAGGCTTTAAACGTCTGTTATTTTTGGCTTTTAACTTCTGATCTCTGTCCGACGTCTATATGGGTGACGTTAATGAGACGTCGGACTCAATAGGTCAAACGTCTATATAGACGTCTGATCCATACAGGTCAGATGTCTATATAGACGTTTGACACTATAGATCAGACGTATAAAACGTTGCCGTATTTGATTGGATCTTTTTCAACTTGAGGCCTCTCAGGTTGCTCCTGGCTCATGGTGATTCGAGTTTACAACTTTATATTTTAAATGAAGAAAAGTTATTGTACGTTATTTTTGTATTGGATGGTTTTAAAAACGTAGGCGAATTGGAGGAGTGCAAAACGCAAGAAATCGCCGCCCAAGGACACGAGCAAAAGTTTACCAAAACCCAACGAAAATGCATTTTAATTGGTTCAAATGAAAGATAATGCATCAAAGAGTGATGTAATTGGAGTAAAATTAATTTAAAACGGTATAAAAGTGAGAAAACGAACCTGAAAAGAGTAACCCGTAGAGAGAAAACGCGAGGAAGATGATGAACATTAAGTGCGCGTAACTGCTGCCTCACGTTCGCGGTGTTTAGATGCAGGCATATAGAAGTCGGTTCCCCCCACATCAAACGTCTATATGGGAGTAGAAGCCGGATTGGCAAGATCGGACGTTTAAATGGAGTTAAAAATGACTTTTTAGATTTCAAAAGTGAGTAAATAGAAGTCGGTTCCCCCCACATCAGACGTCTATATGGCTATAGAAGTCGGATTGGCAGGATCGGACGTCTAAATGGAGTTAAAAAGTGACTTTTTAGATTTCAAAAATGAGTATATAGAAGTCGGTTTCCCCTACATCGGACGTTTATATGGTTGTAGAAGTCGGATTGGCGGGATCAGACGTCTAAATGGAGTTAAAAAGTAACTTTTTAGATTCCAAAATGAGTATATAGAAGTCGGTCCCCCCCACATCAGACGTCTATATGGCTGTAGAAGTCGGATTGACGGGATCTGACGTCTAAATGGAGTCAAAACGTGACTTTTTAAATTTTCAAAAATTGAGTATATAAAAGTCTGTTCCCCATATCAGACGTTTATATGGCCTTAGACGTCTGTTCCCTCCAGAACATACGTCTATATGATTGTTTTATTTACAAAAAATGTCATTGGTCATTTTTTATGTTGAATATTCAAAGATGGAACATCTAAAGGATGACGTTAAAGGTCTTTTAGGTCAATGTCTCAAAATAATCTGTAAACTAATTAAAAAGATTAAAAGTATTATCAAATCCATTAATCTACTTGAGTTGTGACTATTAACCGTATTCGTTTTAACAAAAAATTATGAATTTTTAATATTTTTATTTTTTAATGCATTTTATTATATTTTATTTAATAATATTCATTGTTTTAATGTACCTTTTATTTCTTTGATTAATGTAAGTCATATGAATCAAGAGTAATAATCATTTAATAGAAAATATTTATTCAAACAATTAAATATTCAAAATAGAATTGTGATGATTGTGCTAATATTCATTTAATAATTGAATAGTTTTAATTTCTTCTTTTTTAACATGTTATTCAAGATTGACTGAAATATAATATAATTAATAAGTTTTGAACAGTTCAAAATACAATCTACAAATTGATCTATAAATAACACAAGATGCAAAGTTGTTCTTTACCTAAAATCAAGAATTAAACCTTAAATTTGTGTCATAGATAATGGCCACCTCAACTATGAAGCTTTTCATCACAATTCTCTTGTGTGTCTTCTTTTCTCAAGGTGATTCTTTCTCCCAATATTGTATGAAACATGAAAGAGTTTTATAATTAATTTTCATAATTTCTTTATTGCATATGTTAATAGGTTATAGCAAATGCTCTTTGGAAGATATTCATGTAAGCCAAGCAATAACTGGACTTACAGTGAAGGGGAAGCAAGAACTGAATGTGACTATTGCAAATTGGTGTTCTTGTGCTCAATCAAATCTGAAACTTGATTGCAGAGGATTTCAATCCACGAAACCAATAGACCCTTCAATTTTGAAAGTTTCTGGCAATGTTTGTCTTGTTAATGGTGGAAAACCTATATTAGAGGGTGCTGTTGAATTTAGCTATGCTTGGAATACTCCATTTTCATTTGATCCTATTTCTTCAAATATTTCTTGTCATTGAATATGTATGTAAATGCAAGGAATTTTATTGTGAAAATTTAAATTTAAGCAGAATGTCGAAAATTTATAAATGATATTTTATAATATAATTTTAAAGGTTTTATTAAGTTCTAATTCCTGATAAATTTGTGAATTTTCAATCCGAGTCCTGATTAAAATTTTGTGGTCTTGACTTTTCAAAATTTAATTTTTCTTTCAACCTAATCTCCCTTAATATATTTCTCTGTTAAATACGTGAGGTGATAACTATTTTGTCTTGGGTGTTGTAACCTAACCTTGTTTAAATGTATTTTAGAAATTTATTGTATTTAAGTAAAATTATTTTTAAAGTTAATTAAAATATGAAATATAAAATTATAAATTAAAAAAATATAAAATATTAAATTTAAAATATATAATATGGAATTATAGAATTACAAAGTTACAAAATTATTGTAACATCCCAAAAATCTAGTAGTGTACTATATAAAAGAGTTATCAGAAGTCCGATATTAATAAGAATAGTTACAAAGATAGGAAAATAAAGTAAGGTTTAGAGTCTTCCAACATAACTATAAAGCCTACTTTATTTACAGAATGGTGGTAACACACAAATATATACACATGATAATTATCTAATGATGCTACACGTCAGATGCTCCTCCATCTAATGTTTGCTCAATAGAGACCTCATCACCCTCTGCTTACACCCACCAGATGATCATCGTCAAGAAGAGAAACATAACACATACAACAAAATCACAAACAAAAGGGTAAGCTAGATATAAAAAGGTTCATACAATATTCTAATATATCAAACGCCATAAGTAAATCACAAATAACGACCAACTCAAAACATCCTAAACAAGCCAAGATTTAGACTGGACTGTCCGAACTTAGAATGATTGCAAAGTCATTGTCAATGGGTTTCACCCTACCACACTCACAAGGTTAGTCTGTTCCACGCCTTGGATCAAACTGGAAGCACCCAAGACTAAGACCTCCTGCTACTCTTCACCACATGTGTCAATCTTCTCTACTTGAGAACGAAAGACCATTAGAATTTTAGGATAAACCCCAAGATTGAGCTCCCTACATTCATTCTAAACATACTTGAATCTCACCAAGAAGTTCCACCTTGGAACTTACTTTCATAANATATATATATATATATATATAATATAATATAATATATAAACTTACTCATTCTTTCACTTTAAAAGCCTAAACTAAAATTACTAATTCTACTAATTAAATTTTTGCACTACTCGTAAATACTTTTATTTCTGAATTTCATACCATAAATAATTATTTAATATTATAAATAAAAAAATAAAAATAAAAGATATTTTTATTTTATTCGGGTCTTACAGAAATGGTTCTCTACCAAGCTGTTTCAAGTTGTTCTTCATTCCATCATGTGTCGAAGGAAGGTGTTGTTATCATCTCTTATCGGTTAAGAGAGGTGTTTTCTACTTCACATTGTTCTTTACCTAGATTGTATCATTAAACTAATTTTAGTGAAAGGTTAATCACTTATTTTAAAGTGATTAACAATTGGACGTAGAATCTTTTTGATTCGAACCAGTATACAAATTATCTGTGTTTTCTCTATCCTTTCTCCTCTTTACTTTATTCTGTAAAAAGAAAATTTTAAAGGGAAAACAAAAATTTTAATAGAACCAATTCATCGCTTCCCTCTTGCTTTTGTGTCCGAACACGCTTTTAAACATTCCACTACATGATACCAATTTCGATAATTGGTATTAGAGTTTGCTTTGATATTCTTTCAAATTTTTTGAAAATGGTCGAACATAACAAAGTGTATGCTGAGGGTGCTTCCATCAACAAGCCTCCTCTTTTTATCGGTGATAACTATGCCTTTTGGAAAGTCAGAATGCAAATACTCATAGGGTTGTAGATAGAGGCATTTGGGAAGTAGTGGAAAATGGTCCTATAATATTCCCACTAGAATTGTTGATGGTATTGAGCAAGAAAAACCTTATTTGTCATGGACTACTGGAGAAAATAGCCGAGCTCAATTTGATATAAATTCTCGAAACATAATTTCCTTTTTTGTTGTATTAAATGAATTTTACAAGATATCAGTGTGTAAAACAACCCAGGAGATGTAGGAGGTCCTTCGAGTAACACATGAAGGTATTGACAATGTTAACTCTATCAAATATAAGTCAGAAGTGGATCTTAGAGACAAAGAATACATTCACGGAATGTTTTCACTATCAAAAGTCGTGCTAAAGAGTTTGTACAATCTACTTTTGATTAAATATTGAAAAAGCATTCCTGTCTGAAAACTTGACTTTACTACGGCTACTACCTACGAAAAGGCTAAGAAGATCTGAAGATCAAAGGACGTACTATCTAACGAACATTTTCTTTAAGTCTATAAATTGAAGATCTATAAAGAGAAGAGCAAGTGAATAAGCATACGAATACGAAAGAAATTATCTGAGAAGAAAAGGAAGCTAAAAAAAAAAAAGAAAATACTCTCCAACTTCATAGAATCATAAGCTTACAGTTGTAAGAAAAGAGGAAACTGTAACAATCAGTTAGATTGATTTGTATTGTAAACACATCCTCTTTGCGAGAGTAATCGTCTAAGGACTTGTAAACACTTTTCTTTCAAACTCTACAGTTTTTTATTATCTCAATCGTTTTTAAAAGCTCTTTCTCAAACGTTATTCTTATCAAGAGCTATCTTTCTCAAAACGCTACAATATATTTAGCTAAAAAATTGAAAAATATTTATTTTTGAACTTGCAGTTTGAACATAACTTTCCAACTCAAGTGTTTGACAACTTATACAAACCAGTTAACCTTTAACAAGGTTATTAAACTATCTTTTAGAAAAAAAAAATTCTTATAACACTATTCAACCCTCACTAGTACAGAAAAGGCTTTAAACGTCTGTTATTTTTGGCTTTTAACTTCTGATCTCTGTCCGACGTCTATATGGGTGACGTTAATGAGACGTCGGACTCAATAGGTCAAACGTCTATATAGACGTCTGATCCATACAGGTCAGATGTCTATATAGACGTTTGACACTATAGATCAGACGTATAAAACGTTGCCGTATTTGATTGGATCTTTTTCAACTTGAGGCCTCTCAGGTTGCTCCTGGCTCATGGTGATTCGAGTTTACAACTTTATATTTTAAATGAAGAAAAGTTATTGTACGTTATTTTTGTATTGGATGGTTTTAAAAACGTAGGCGAATTGGAGGAGTGCAAAACGCAAGAAATCGCCGCCCAAGGACACGAGCAAAAGTTTACCAAAACCCAACGAAAATGCATTTTAATTGGTTCAAATGAAAGATAATGCATCAAAGAGTGATGTAATTGGAGTAAAATTAATTTAAAACGGTTTAAAAGTGAGAAAACGAACCTGAAAAGAGTAACCCGTAGAGAGAAAACGCGAGGAAGATGATGAACATTAAGTGCGCGTAACTGCTGCCTCACGTTCGCGGTGTTTAGATGCAGGCATATAGAAGTCGGTTCCCCCCACATCAAACGTCTATATGGGAGTAGAAGCCGGATTGGCAAGATCGGACGTTTAAATGGAGTTAAAAATGACTTTTTAGATTTCAAAAGTGAGTAAATAGAAGTCGGTTCCCCCCACATCAGACGTCTATATGGCTATAGAAGTCGGATTGGCAGGATCGGACGTCTAAATGGAGTTAAAAAGTGACTTTTTAGATTTCAAAAATGAGTATATAGAAGTCGGTTTCCCCTACATCGGACGTTTATATGGTTGTAGAAGTCGGATTGGCGGGATCAGACGTCTAAATGGAGTTAAAAAGTAACTTTTTAGATTCCAAAATGAGTATATAGAAGTCGGTCCCCCCCACATCAGACGTCTATATGGCTGTAGAAGTCGGATTGACGGGATCTGACGTCTAAATGGAGTCAAAACGTGACTTTTAAAATTTTCAAAAATTGAGTATATAAAAGTCTGTTCCCCATATCAGACGTTTATATGGCCTTAGACGTCTGTTCCCTCCAGAACATACGTCTATATGATTGTTTTATTTACAAAAAATGTCATTGGTCATTTTTTATGTTGAATATTCAAAGATGGAACATCTAAAGGATGACGTTAAAGGTCTTTTAGGTCAATGTCTCAAAATAATCTGTAAACTAATTAAAAAGATTAAAAGTATTATCAAATCCATTAATCTACTTGAGTTGTGACTATTAACCGTATTCGTTTTAACAAAAAATTATGAATTTTTAATATTTTTATTTTTTAATGCATTTTATTATATTTTATTTAATAATATTCATTGTTTTAATGTACCTTTTATTTCTTTGATTAATGTAAGTCATATGAATCAAGAGTAATAATCATTTAATAGAAAATATTTATTCAAACAATTAAATATTCAAAATAGAATTGTGATGATTGTGCTAATATTCATTTAATAATTGAATAGTTTTAATTTCTTCTTTTTTAACATGTTATTCAAGATTGACTGAAATATAATATAATTAATAAGTTTTGAACAGTTCAAAATACAATCTACAAATTGATCTATAAATAACACAAGATGCAAAGTTGTTCTTTACCTAAAATCAAGAATTAAACCTTAAATTTGTGTCATAGATAATGGCCACCTCAACTATGAAGCTTTTCATCACAATTCTCTTGTGTGTCTTCTTTTCTCAAGGTGATTTTTTCTCCCAATATTGTATGAAACATGAAAGAGTTTTATAATTAATTTTCATAATTTCTTTATTGCATATGTTAATAGGTTATAGCAAATGCTCTTTGGAAGATATTCATGTAAGCCAAGCAATAACTGGACTTACAGTGAAGGGGAAGCAAGAACTGAATGTGACTATTGCAAATTGGTGTTCTTGTGCTCAATCAAATCTGAAACTTGATTGCAGAGGATTTCAATCCACGAAACCAATAGACCCTTCAATTTTGAAAGTTTCTGGCAATGTTTGTCTTGTTAATGGTGGAAAACCTATATTAGAGGGTGCTGTTGAATTTAGCTATGCTTGGAATACTCCATTTTCATTTGATCCTATTTCTTCAAATATTTCTTGTCATTGAATATGTATGTAAATGCAAGGAATTTTATTGTGAAAATTTAAATTTAAGCAGAATGTCGAAAATTTATAAATGATATTTTATAATATAATTTTAAAGGTTTTATTAAGTTCTAATTCCTGATAAATTTGTGAATTTTCAATCCGAGTCCTGATTAAAATTTTGTGGTCTTGACTTTTCAAAATTTAATTTTTCTTTCAACCTAATCTCCCTTAATATATTTCTCTGTTAAATACGTGAGGTGATAACTATTTTGTCTTGGGTGTTGTAACCTAACCTTGTTTAAATGTATTTTAGAAATTTATTGTATTTAAGTAAAATTATTTTTAAAGTTAATTAAAATATGAAATATAAAATTATAAATTAAAAAAATATAAAATATTAAATTTAAAATATATAATATGGAATTATAGAATTACAAAGTTACAAAATTATTGTAACATCCCAAAAATCTAGTAGTGTACTATATAAAAGAGTTATCAGAAGTCCGATATTAATAAGAATAGTTACAAAGATAGGAAAATAAAGTAAGGTTTAGAGTCTTCCAACATAACTATAAAGCCTACTTTATTTACAGAATGGTGGTAACACACAAATATATACACATGATAATTATCTAATGATGCTACACGTCAGATGCTCCTCCATCTAATGTTTGCTCAATAGAGACCTCATCACCCTCTGCTTACACCCACCAGATGATCATCGTCAAGAAGAGAAACATAACACATACAACAAAATCACAAACAAAAGGGTAAGCTAGATATAAAAAGTTTCATACAATATTCTAATATATCAAACGCCATAAGTAAATCACAAATAACGACCAACTCAAAACATCCTAAACAAGCCAAGATTTAGACTGGACTGTCCGAACTTAGAATGATTGCAAAGTCATTGTCAATGGGTTTCACCCTACCACACTCACAAGGTTAGTCTGTTCCACGCCTTGGATCAAACTGGAAGCACCCAAGACTAAGACCTCCTGCTACTCTTCACCACATGTGTCAATCTTCTCTACTTGAGAACGAAAGACCATTAGAATTTTAGGATAAACCCCAAGATTGAGCTCCCTTCATTCATTCTAAACATACTTGAATCTCACCAAGAAGTTCCACCTTGGAACTTACTTTCATAACTTGAAACCATACTTAGAACCATAAACTTTCACATTGAATCCCAACTAATAATATTATAGAGTATATAATAACATAGAAACTTTTACACTATTAAAAGAATCAAAACATGTCCCAAGATTATCAGAGAATTAGGTTAAAATATAATAAAAACATATCCTGGACTAGTCGCTCAGCGACCACGCTCGTTGGGCGACCACAGAGGCAGTGAGCCAAGCTCCTTCGCCTCTCGTTCAACGACCACTCTCGTTGTGCGACAACAAAACCAGTGGTCCAAGCTCCCTAACCTCTCGCTCAGCGACCCAACTTGTTATGCAAATACACAGATAGTGGTCCAAGCTCCCAGTCCTCTCGCTCAGCGACCTAACTCATTGTGCGAATACAGAAATAATGGTCCAAACTCCCTAACCTCTCGCTCAGCGACCCAACTCGCTCGGCGAAACCACATAATTCTACAACATCAAAACTTCAAAACTTGCACCCTTAACCAATCTTGACCTATTCTAGAAATCTTTCTCAACTTGTAACACTCCTAGATTGTATTGTAGACTCAAATGTATCTAAATAAATGCATCTAAACCAACCTAAACACATTTTAACTCAATTTTTCAATTAAAAAATATAAAATATTATATAAATTAAAAAATATAAATTATTCAATTAAAAAATATTAATTATAAAAGATAAAATAAAAATAAAATTATATAGATGGTATCCTTTTTATATATAAATATAGATTTTGAATGATTCAATTATTAATTAATTTATTTATCTTGGGCCAAGATTTAGCTCGCGTATAGAAAATTTTTAAAATACTGAATCTGATCTTTTAATAACATGCACTGTAAATTTGTATATATTATCAGGCAATTAAAAATTATTAAAAATGTGACAACAAAAGAAAACTTGAAACTCAAATATAAATAAATTTAAATTTCTTTCACCCTAAAATTAATTACATCATTATTTATATTTATTCGTGTACCACAAGACAATGGATTATTAAAAAGAAAAATACACTATAAAGAGATTCTCCAACTATAATTTAGCTGCAAATTCATAAATGTGGAACATAAATTCTACAGATGGGGCATGATCCTTGTTGAACTAGCCATTTGTCTATGCAGACCAAGTGAAAAAAGTGGCTACAGTTTGGAAGTGTCCTCACAAATTCTTCATCCTCAAATTCCTGCACAATACAATTTCTATTCAAATTACATTTAAATTTATATTCTTTAAAGCTCATTAATTTTCAGAGACTCTGAAACATTTTGTGACCTGGAAGCAAATTGAACAGCATGACTCATTGTATAGATTGAACATTTCACTGGAATTGAACTGTTGAACAGGAAGCTCTTGGATGACTGTGATTCCCCTCACAATGACATTGTTTATATCTGATGATTCTTCTCTGTAACTTGTTCCATGTGCAATCATCTGCAAGTACTAATTTCATAAAAGAATTCATATAAAAAAACTCTATGGGCTGCTGTTTTCAAATTTATATTTGTTTTGTATATTAATCCTTACATGACATTGATAGACCTGTGCAACAACTGGACATATCCATTCCATAAATAGCTTTCCATTTAACAAACTCCTTAATAGAGCAAACTGCAAATCAACATCAAATTTAATAGTTCAGATTTCAAACAATATCATTATATGAAACTTCAAGTGTTACCTTAGACAGAGCTTCAGCATCTGCATCATTATTTAGCAATTCTAATGCAGCAATTGCCCCTGTCACAGCTCCTTTGCAAGCACCATCAACAAAACCAGCTTCTGTGGTCTGCCCACTGATGCCTCCTGCAATTATCCCCATTATAGACCCTCCTGTGCAAATCATCAAACATTGCTTACAAAGCATCATAGAATGGATTATCCTGGATGTTTTGGTTAATGTTGCAAAGACAGAGACATTAGTTCAGGTTGCGAGGTTGTTAATGACGAATGTTTGCCTTAGACTCAAATTCCTAAACTATGAAATGTGCAACATAATATAATGTAACATGTTTTATTTAGCCACGTGCACTAAGCTAGTAACTAGTATATGAGGACAAGAGTTCACATTCTCGACTAAGTTTTTACTACTGTACTTCTGTTTGAATTTTTAAAACAAATTGATATCTATCAAAAATTTTAATATGTTTTAGAATATCAAAGTCTGTCAGTATATTTTAAAGATTTAATATCGGAACAACACTCAAAATTCGGTAGAAAATAATTTTCATGAGGACAGAGAAAAAGTTAGCAATTTAACGCATTACCTAATGCCAAAATGCAAGTAAATTCAGCAAAAACAAGTGTCTCCACAACTTTCATGAATTGGTGAAGTGCATAACTGCCACTGGCAACCAAAGCCCACATGGAAAGAAGCTCCTTACACCTTGTTGTTGCTTGCATCATTCCAGAAAACCACATGGCCAAAAGGGTGAGAAAATGGCCTTAGCTTGAAACTGAGAAGATGAGGAAAATGCAAGATATTTTTGGTTGAAAATGGTGGCATTTAAAGAGTGAGGAAAAGCAAGTTAAAGAGCTTTTTTCCAAAAGTGCATATCTGGTGCCAGAATCCGAAGACTATATATAGTATCTAACAGTAAAGTGGTGATTGCATTGATGTCCTTGATGAGCATGTTTTGGAAAAAAAGAGAAAGGTTAGTGCAGGGAGAACTGCAAACTGATATAATTTAGTTTTCCTTTCCAAAGTCTCACATGCCCCTCAGTAAATGGTGTGAGAATGTTAGTCCAACCATTTTGAGTTTCATCTAAATAATTCATATTTGAATAATATTATATAGATTCCAATATCACATGGTTCAAAATTGAACATAAAATTAAATTTTGATAAAATGAAACTAAACTTATGGAATTTGATTTTTATAAGTGGTTTTTTTAGTTTATAACTTAATTTTTTTTTTCACTAAAGATTGATTTTTTTACCTTTTAATAAACTTCTATGACCTTTTAACTTTTGCTTTTAATAAAATTTCGACTTTTGTTAAATTCGATCAAGTTCGTGTTGACCGAAATTTGGTCAAGTCGTCTTTGATTGAATTTAATTTAAGTCGAATTTGACTAAAATTTGGCCTAATTCGTTCGAGTTTGTCTTGGTTGAAATTTGGCCGACTTTAGTTTGAGTCAGTCCCAACTTAAATTTAGCTACACGCTTAGTCGAAGGTCAAGACAGGTTTGCCAGGGCCAAATGTCGAGACGGTCTAGTCCAAATGAAAGGTTGAGACTGGTACGATCCAAGTCTAAGGTTGAGACTGGTACGATCCAGGTCAAAGGTTGAGACTAGTCGCCCCAACCTAGGCCAAAGGTTAACTCGGGGCGACCTAGGCTGAAGTTCGAGACAAGTCGATCTTGGTTTAAATTCGAGATAGGCTAACATTTAATCGATTGCTGTTACCTACAAAATTTTTGTGAGGTGTTTGGTTCTGAGTTTTCTTTATAAGGAGTTTTTTTTTTGTAGACATTTTTGGTCTCAACTCATAACTAGGACCAAGTCTTTTGGATTGAACCAAATTGACAACTCAAAGTATAATGATGATTTGTTCAGAAATGCTTTAGGAATATTTTATTTTTAATTTTAATTGAGTCAAAGTCTGTTACTTATTTTTAGGATGTAGTTAATTTTTAATTATGGGTTGAACTAGTTGATTAAAATTAGGATAAAATGTTAGTGGGTAGTTACTTTTTCAGGTTTTAAATATTGTAACATTTCTCATTATTTGACAATCAATAATATAGAAGCATTTAGCTTCAAGCTGCTATCGTTCTTTTATTAAAAAAACCAACAATTGGAATTAAGAGCTTTTTTCTTGAAGGACCTATGAGAGAAAAATCTTAAAGCATGGAATGAGATTCAAAATTTTCAACAATAGCACCATCAGTCTTTGATGGTGAAAATTATCAAATTTAGGCGGTACGAATGGAAGCCTACCTGTAAGCTCTGGATCTGTGGGAGGCAGTTGAAGAGGATTATGAAATTCATGTGCTACCTAGCAATCCAATGATGGCTCAAATAAAGAATCACAAGGACGGAAAAACCATAAAAGCTAAGGCAAAGGCGTGCCTCTTTGTTGTAGTTTCACCAACCATTTTCACTTTAATCATGTCTCTAAAGTCAGCCAAAGCCATATGGGATTATCTTAAAGAAGAATATGATGGAGATGATCAAATTAAAGGCATGAAGGTGTTGAATCTCATTAAAGAATTTGAATTGCAGAAGATGAAGGAATCTAAAACTATCAAGGAATCTGAACATATCAAACAAAGTAAGATTGCTTGGTTCTCAATTTAAGGACTCTCTTATTGTTGAAAAAGTTCTAGTTACCGTACCTGAAAGATTTGAAGCTACCATAACCACCTTAGAAAATATTAAGGATTTTTCCAAGATCACCTTGGCAGAGTTGTTGAATTCCTTGTAGGCACAAGAACAACGAAGGGCTATGAGAGAAGAAGGCTTTCTTGAGGAAGCCTTTCCTGCTAAACATGAAGATAGTTGGAAAAACAAAAAAAGGAACCAATAACCAAATAGAGAAGGTGTTGTAAAAAATGAAAACAAAGCAGGAAGCTCTAAGGGAAAGTATCCTCCTTGCAAGTATTGCAACAGGATGGGTCATCCTCCATTCAAGTGCTGGAAAAGACCAGATGCTAAATGCATAAAGTGCAGTCAAATGAGTCATGAAGTTGTCATATGCAAAAACCAAATCAGCAGCAGGAAGAAGATGCTCAAATATCAAATGAAGAAGAGGAAGATCAACTATTTGTTGTAACCTGTTTTTCAACCAATGCTTCAAGTGAATCTTGGCTAATTGGTAGTGGTTGTACTAACCACATGACCTTTGACAAGGCACTCTTTAGAGATATGAGGCCAATTGATGTCACCAAAGTCAGAATAGGCAATGGTGATTATATCTCAGTCAAATGAGAGGGGACATTTGCAATTACAAGCTGTGTAGGCACAAAATTTATTCCAGACGTTCTTTTTGTTCTTGAAATTGATCAAAATTTGTTAAGTGTTGGTCAACTGATTGAAAGAGGATTTAAAGTTGTTTTTAAAGACATAAATTGCTTGATTAAAGATGTAGTTGGTCAAGATATGTTCAAGGTGAAAATGAAAGGGAAAAGCTTTGCTCTAAAACCATTGGAGGAGGAGAAAACTGTATTCTCACTCAAGGAAAATGTGAGAGAAATCTGGCACAAGAAGCTAAGACATCCTCATCATATGTTGGGTGCAAAAAGTTTCTCTTATTTTGTAGCAATGTCTGCAACATTGGTTTTGATCCTTCTCAATGTGGCTGTGGTTTTCCATGGAGGCAAAACAATTTCTTTCATCAGGAAGGTAATAGGGCTGAGGACATGCCCCTTCACAGTGATGTATTTGTTGTCCCTTCTAGCTATAATTCTCCTTAGTAGGTTTATATAATAATAGGTGACCTTGTGGGAAAGGTCATGATCATATCATGGATGACCATGGGCAAATCAGGAAACAATTTAGTACGTTATTGGAATGAGGCGTACAAGGAGGACCTTCTTGACTATGAAGACGAAGTAGAGAAGGAGCCTAAAGGTGCTAATAAAGTCAACATTGAAGGTGTGAAGAAGGGTTACATTGGAATTCACAATTCAAGATTCAGAAACCTTTTACTGAAGCCAAATTGACCTTTCATAGACTGTTACAGTTCCTAAAGCAAGGAGGAGTGTTAAGAAAATGCTTTAGGAAT